ATTTAAGGCAACTAGGTGCCTTACTCCCATTTAAATTAATGGGAGTTAGACACCTTAGGTGCTTTTGAGGAAAAAAAAAAAAAATCTCACAAGGCACCTAATACCTTTAAAATCTTGCCTTTTGTACCATTCTGAGAATCTTATTCATTTTACAAATGATAATATTTTGATATACCCATGAGGAGCACAATAGATTATTTTAGTTCAAGTTTACAGATGAGTAATTTCAGGCACAAATGTTCAGACATTTGGTGCAGATGCAGAAATAGAACCTTTTGACTTGTGCTCCAATCCAGTGTTTCCCAAAGTATGGGGCATGCCTTCATGGGAAATTAGTTGGCTTGGGGGAGGGGAAAGCAGAGAGCTCTCTCATCTGTTCTTCACTTTTGTTTTTAAATAAATAAAGTCGCTACCCATTAAGACTGCAAAGAAAGCCTTCAAAAATGGGGTGCTCATATTTCACTACACACTTCTTTTCCATATGCAAGGCTTCTGTTCCATCACCACTCCAAGTATTCTTACTTATTTACAGGCCCAAATTAAGGCAATCCAGGATTTTAGGCACATTTTGACACAGGACCTTCCTGTGGCCTAGCCCCACACTTAGTGGCAGGTATCGGGGTAGCCGTGTTAGTCTGTATCTACAAAAACAACAAGGAGTCTGGTGGCACCTTAAAGACTAACAGTTTTATTTGGGCATAACCTTTCGTGGGTAAAAACCTCACTTCTTCGGTTGCATCCGAAGAAGTGAGGTTTTTACCCACGAAAGCTTATACCAAATAAATCTGTTAGTCTTTAAGGTGCCACCAGACTTAGTGGCAGGGTTGCCCTCCTCCAGCTTTCATGATTGTACATGGTTCCAAATGAGCTGTGTGGTTGACCAGTCCCCAGTTCGTGGTTCTACTGTACTATAAAGTGGGTGCACAACTGGTTGAAAGACCATACTCAAAGAGTAGTTATCAATGGTCCACTGTCAAACGGGGAGGATGTATCAAGTGGGGTCCCACAGGGGTCAGCCCTGAATCCAGTACTATTCAATATTTTCATTACTGACTTGGATACTGGAGTGGAGAATATATTTATAAAATCTGTGAATGACACTAAAATAGGTGGGGTTGCAAGCACTTCCAAGGATGGGTTTAGAATTCAAAGTGACCTTCACAAATTGGAGAATTAGTCTGAAATCAACAAAATAAAAAATTCAAAAGAGACAAGTGTCAAGTATTACACTTAAGGAGAAAAAAAAAATCAAATGCACAAATATAAATTGGGGAATAACTGGCTAGGCCAATGATCCCCAAACTTTTTTGTCCACCTCCCTCCCCCTTTCCTGGTCCAGGAGCAGGGGCCACAAAGTGGGAGCGGGGACAGAGCTGGGAGCTGTGGCCAAGAGCAGAGCCACAGCTAGGGTCAGGGCACAGTGGCTGAGACCGGGGCCAAACCTGGGGCTGGAGAGGAGCTGGGGGCAGGGCAGGTGTCAGTAGCGGTTCCTCCTTGCCCCCCATGGAGGCTGGCCCAGGCCTCGCCACACCACCAAACATTCCTCCATGCTCCCCCCAGGACAGCATGCCCCACAGTTTGGGGACCACTGGGCTAGGCAGATGTACTGCTGAAAAGGGTCTAGGGGTTATAGTGGATCAAAGTAAATACAAGTCAACAATATGATGCAACTGGAAAAAAAAAAAAGACAGCTATTCTGGGGTGTATTAACAGAAGTGATCTATGTAAAAGGTGAGAGATAACTGTTCCACTCTAGTTGGCACTGGTGAGGCCACAGCTGGAGTACTATGTCCAATTGCAGGCGCCACACTTTAGGAAAGATGTATACAAATTGGAGAGCAACAAAAATGATTAAAGGCTTAGAAAACCCGATCCATGACAAAAGGTTAAAAACCTGGCTTTTTTTAGTCTTGAGAAAAGAAGACTGAGAGGGAACCTGATCACAGTCTTCAAATACATTAAGGGCTGTTGTACAAAGGACGCTTATCAATTGTTCTCCGTGCAAAGAAACATGCTTAATCTACCGCAAGGAAGATTTAGGTTAGGTATATAAGGGAAAAAATAAATAAAAATAAACCCACTTAATGATATATGTAGTTAAGCTCTGGAATAGGCTTCCAAGGGAGGTTGTGGAATCCCCATCATTGAAGGTTTTAAGACTCGATTGGACAAGTATCTGTCAGGGATTCTCTAGGTTTACTTGGTCCTGCCTCAGAGAAAGGGGCTGGACTAGATGACCTTTCGAGGTCCCTTCAGGCTCTACCTCACAGAATTCTATACTATGCAAACTCATAGCTATTTAGTCACAAAATCCACTATAACAGATACAATCAATCAACAGGACTTTAGAGCGTGAGTCTAAGGGCATGGCTACACTTGCAGACGTAGAGCGCTGGGAGTTAAACCAGCCTTCGGAGAACGCAGCAGGGAAAACACTGCCATGTGTTTACACGCTCAGCTGCAAATGCACTGGTGTGGCCACATGAGAATCTCCTGCAACGCCACAAAGAGCAGTGCATTGTGGTAGCTATCCCAGCGTGCAAGTGGCTGCACCATTCTTTTCGGGGGGGGGGGGGGGGGAGAGGGGGGGGTGACAGGGAGTGTGTTTTGTGTATGTGGTGGGAGAGAGAGGTTTTTTTTTTTGAGGAACTGAGCGTGTGTCAGCATGCTATCTTGTAAGTTAAGACAGCAGCAGACCCCCCTCTCCCTCCCCTCTTTTACACACACTCACAGCAAGCAACATTCCACACTAATGGCTTGTTTTGTCCCAGGGTAGATAAGCATGCCGACTGTCAAAAACGGAGCTTTGAAAGGGCATATCTGCATTCCTACAGCCAATTCCAAAACAATGACAAGAGTGGCCACTTGACTTAAGGGGATTATGGGACGTTTCTGGAGGCCTATCATTGCGCAGTAATACAACACTTTATTCACACTGACACTGGGGTGTTTCAGCCGAGGCGCAGCAAGCGTTATGCTTCTTGTGGAGGTAGATTACCAGGAGCACTCCAGCTGCAGAGTCCAGGTGCTCTAAGTGCCTTGCCAGTGTGGATGGGTCATGAGTTAGGGCACCTGGGACTGCTTTAATGCGCTCTAACTTTCAAGTGTAGCCAAGCCCTTAGCCTTAGCCAAGCCAGCGCTTTAACGTGGCTGTGTAGTTGCAGCACCAGCACTAGGAGAGAGCTCTTCCAGTGCTATTGAAAAAGAGGGGAGTAGCTACCAGCGCTAGTGCACTGTCTACACTACCACTTTTCAGCGCTGAAACTCGCAGTTCTCAGGGGGGTGTTTTTTCCAGAGAGCAAGTTGCAGCACTGTATAGTGGCAGTGTAGACAAGGCCTAAGATGATGTTCTCCAGTGAGGGCATTCTCTGCCACATACTCGCAACTGTTAATTTAACAGCTGTAGATAATTTACCTACAAGTTGACAGCAGGATGATTCTTACACCTTCCCTCTAAAAGAGAGGATAGAGAAAGGCCAGCAGCATACTTCTTGGAGACAAAGTTAAGAATGGGGCAAAACAAAACAGCAGCCAATAACGAAAAATACTAGGCTCTTTTTGGGAGGAACAGATGTTCATTTAGGTGACACCTACATACCACAGCAATGGAGGGCGGGGGGGGTGTCATCAAAACAGCATCACACACAACTCTTAAGCTTAATGCTTAAAACACACACCTCTTAAATACAATTTCTTCTCCTCCCTGCCTCCCCTCCCCCAAATATCAAGATGCTGTAACAGATCTAAGCAACAGTGTGATTTTAGTCACCTCATCATAGAATATCAGGGTTGGAAGCAGGGCCGGCTTTAGCAAGAGCGGGGCCCGATTCCTGGGGGCGGGGCTTACCGGCAAGCCCCGCCCCCGGAATCGGGCTGCGCGGAGCCGCTGGGGCCAGCGCTCGGCCGGAACCGGGTCCGGTGCCCGAGCTGGGCCGGAGCTGCCGGGGGTGCTCGGCTGGCGCTGCTCGGCCCGAGCCGGGCCGGAGCCACAGGGGCCGGTACGCTTGGCCAGAACCGCGGCCGGCACCCCGGGGCCAGAGCCGCTTGGCCGGGCTGGGGCCGGAGGGAACCCCTCAGCCAGGGCCGGCTGGACCGCGCCACGCCTCCCCGGAGCCCTCCTCCTCGCGTTCCCCTCCACCCCAGCTTACCTGCTGCCCGCTTGCCCCTGCTTGTTTTCAGACTTCCCGCGAACATCTGATTCACAGGAAGCAGGGGAGGGGGAGGAGCAGGGGGGTGGAGCGTTCAGGGGAGGGGAGAAGGGGGAAGTGAGCTGGGGGAGGGGTGGACAGCTGCGGGGCCCGATTCAGCCGAATCAGCTGAATTGGCCTAAAGCTGGCCCTGGTTGGAAGGGGCCTCAGGAGATCATCTACTCCAACCCCTTGCTCAAAGCAGGGCCCATGCCCAGACAGATTTTTACCCCATCCATCAATGGCCCCCTCAAGGATGGCGCTCACAACCCTGGGTTTAGCAGGCTCAAACCATCCGTGCCCTTCCGGCTAGAAGGCTTTTTTGTTCATCCTTTTTGGCGATAGTTTTTAAGTGCCCCAGCTCAGGGGGTGCCGGCTGGATAACGCGGCTCCCACCGCGGAGGGAGCGTGGCGACTCGGTACATAAACACAAGGCGGCTCAGCGCAAGAGCTGGTGGCCGCGCTGCGCGGGGGAGGGGCAGCCCGGCAAAGGCGGAGCGGCAGCGAACTGTCACCGCTCAGGTGGCCGCGCCAAGGCAGGGCTCAGGCTCAGCGGGGCGGGGAACGCCGGGGGTCAGTGTGCCCGGGCCGCCCGCAAGGGGGAGCGGCGTGACCAGGGGCCCCTGCGGCCCCACGCCGGGGTGGGGGTGGGGGCCGGACACCGCTCTGGGGAGCTGGCCTGGAACCCGAACGCGAGGGGGGGGGGGGCGGGGACCCGCGGGGGGGCGGGGGCCGCCGGCCCCCCCCCCCCCCCCAGGGCGGCCCCCCCTTCTTTACCCCCCCCCCCCCCCCCCCGATGCCCGCCCACGTCACCTGGTTTCTTGGTTGCTGAATTTCTTGGTCACCACCTTGCCCAGCTCCAGGCCCAGCCGCTCGGCCACGCGCTGGGACAGGTCCTGGTGCGAGCTGCCGCTGAAGAGCACGATGTTGGGCATGGCCGCGCCGGAGGGGAGGAGGAGGAGGCGGCGGCGGCAGAGCTCGAGCTGAGGCTCCGCAGCGGAGGCGGAAAGAGAGAGAGCGCGGGAGCGCGTGCGGGCTCCGGGTCAAATAACAGGCGGTCCTGGGCCCGCCCCCTGCCTGCGCGCCGGGAGAAGGAGGGGGCGGGGCGGGAGAAGCGAGCGGGACAGCGGCCCAGCCAGTGGTCAGGTGGGGCACGTGACGGGGAGCCTGGGCCCGGTGACAGTTGGAATGAGAGTGACGGTTGGGGGAGGCTTTGGGGGTGCCCAGGTTGGCTGACAGTCAGGGGGGCTTGGGGCCCAGGAGAGCCCCCTGGGGGCAGCAGAGGGGAGCGGGGAGGATGCGAACCCAAGATCTCAGCGTCAGCCGGGGTCACCTCAGCACGTGGCCCAGCCTTTGCCCTGGCACGGAAGTGCACCAGTATCCCATGCAAAGGTTGGGCATGAGTTGAGGAGCGCTAGGGAGCAGCAGCCTAATGCCAGCAATGTACAGGCCTGGCAGGGGACATTATAATCACTGGGGCCCAACCCTTCCCCTTTCACTGTATTTACACAGACAGTTTGGGGTCCATGGTACAATCGTTCCCCTTCTCGCCATCCCTGAACGTAGGAGCTGTTATTTATCTGCATTAGTGATGCAAGGGGACAGGGCCATCATTCCCTCACCCGCATGCATCTCCTTCACGCTCAGATGAGAGGGATCCACTTGTGCGATGACATCTCCTGCACTTGTAGCTTTGTGTTTTGAGTGATGCCATCAACTCGAAAGCTAGTCATTAAAAATAATAAAAGTTTGAAGTAGTCTGAGGTGCTGCACCTGCCCTGCCAGTTTTTCTAGGTTTATAATCAGATTTTCTGTTTTTTTAAAAGTATTTCTCTCTCCCCTTCTGCTGTGTGAAATGGCCACGCTGCCAGAGGGATTATACACACAAAATGCAGAAAGTAAAGAAGAGAAAAAAGTATGTTTGCTTATCTTTCAGTTACAGTATTACTTGTAACAACAATATGTAAAAAAAAATCCAGATATAGTAGGGAAAACATTATCTACTATCTGTTCCTATTAATTTAATCTGGTCGTGTCAGGTTCCTGGGAGTTTGAATGACCTACAATTTTATTTAATTATAAATCTATTGTGGTAGTTTTAAAAACATATTAGTCTTTGTTATCTAATGCATCTTTGCTTCCTTTTCACTCAGCACTTTCTACTGTCTTGCCCCCTGCATTTACTACTTTCAGTTCCACACAGCCAAAAGCCTTTGGAATAAAGTCCCAGGAACACCTCAGTTTCCTCCAATGTAACCTGTGAAAATTGAGGCTCCAATGCTGCAAACACTTGTATAAGCTTAACTTCACTATCCATGATTTTAATGGATAGTAATGTTAAGCTCCTGTAAAAGTGCTTGCAGGAGCAGGATAAACTGTAATATTCCATATTTATGAAGTCTCAATATTAGGGCTGGTCAAAAATTTTCCATCATAATTGTTTCTGAGCAGAAAATTGGATTTTTTGACAGCAGGGCTTATAGCTGTCACCCCCCCTCGTCCCCACGCTGACAGCCCAAGGTGTGAGCTGAGTGCTGGGCTAACAGCTCAGGCTGTTGGCACTGGAGCAGATAGAGAGCCAGCTGTAAGCACCAGGGCTGCGGGACTCCAGCTATCAGTACCCCATATGCTCCACTTCAGTCCATAGGAGCACTCCTGGTGAGGACACACACCATCAACAGAAGGAGCGTAGTGTGGATGTGAACCACTGCTTTAATTACTGTGATGGCTTTATGTCAATTTAAGTCAACTTAATTTTGTAGTGTAGAGAAGCCCTCAGATAGATATAGGAAAAGAAACTGTCTTTCAATGAAAAAAGTTTTATTTTAGCTAGTTCCTCCTTTCTCCCAACCCCTGAAAGCAGAGAGATTCTTACCTGATGTGGGACATAAGAATTTTTCTCTTTCCTTGATCAAGAGAGATTCCTATTTCCTGATAATTAGCCCGGTAGTAGACCACAGTCAGTTCAGCTGTGGCTAATTTAAGGCACCACAGTTATAGCAATTACCAGCTAGCAGAACTGGGGCAATATAGGTAATTCTGCTGTGGAAAAGTATTGCTGCAGAAACCTGTTGCTGTCTTCAAGACAGAGTTCTAGTAATGTAGGGTAGTGAAGATAAGTTTCTCTTAAGAATTCAGGAGCTGAAGTCAGAATCCTGATGTAATCTGATTTCTAGAAAACTGTAAACTATTTTTGTTTGTCTATTGTTTTTTTCCCCTTTCACCCATTTTACCTCCACTTGATGTGAACCAACATTTTGCAAACCTTTCCTGGTAAGTCAGCAGTGACATTCCTCTTTCCAATTTCCTCAAAATAAAACTGTTATACTCTGAGAAATGACTTATCTCATAGAACTGGAAGGGACCCCAAAAGGTTATTGAGTCCAGCCCCCTGCCTTCTCTAGCAGGACCAAGTACTGATTTTGCCCCAGATCCCTAAGTGGCCCCCTCAAGGATTGAACTCACAATCCTGGGTTTAGCAGGCCAATGCTCAAACCACAAAATGTCCCTGTGGGTTTCCACATTTATTGTCTCACAATGAATTCTGGTCAAAATTTGCTCTTATTGTAAATAACAATTTTTAATTTTTTTAAACTGTCAGCCTTTTCAGTGAGGCCTGGGAACTAAATGTCAAGTTGGTTCTTTCCTGCCTTTCACAGTTATCTCTTGTAAAAGATTCTGTGGGCCAAATTCTGCCCTCATTTGCAGAATTGCTAACCCCAAATGTTCATGAATCATGCCACAGATAGAGTTATGAAATTGATTTAAAATTTGTGAGATTTAAAATAAAAAATAATTAGGATCCTTTTTATTTGCATTGAGTTACCAGGGTACACTTGGGTCATATTTTCAATCTTTTCTCTCCAACCTTGAAGCTAGAAACTTCTTTTTTTTTTAATGAAAGCAGAGATTTTCACCTAATCACTTTTCTCTTGAAACTGAAGCTTTTAAAGGTAAACATCAAATATTGTGAGATTTGTGGGAGAAAAATAGCAAGAACTGGCAACACCACAATTATACCTGTGTAACCCTACTGTCTTCATATTCTGGCACTGCAATTTCATTGTTTTCAAACAATGATTCAATTCTTCCAGAGCTGTACTGGTTTTTAAGTACAAATTAAAAATAATAAATAATAAAAATAAAATTTTAAAAGGAATAAGAGCTTCAGGGAGGTTTCACCAAATTCTCAGTACCTTGTTCTCAATTTCTTGCCTTAATGGCTTAACGATGTTGTCTTGTGAGTTATTTTAGCAATATTTCCAACTGCAAATGTCCAAAAACATGTCAGCCCCCCCCCCCCCCCGCCAGGCTCATGACACAAAAATAATACATTTTATTATACATTAATAGTACATTAATACATGACACAAAAATAATACATCTTTTTATTTGCCTTCAGCTTTCTGAGCCTTTAGGGTACACTCACTTCATGTTTTCAAAACTTTCTCTGTAATTAGGAGGGCTAGAAACATAATTTCTTTTCTTTTTTCATGGAAGATAATATTCTCACGCAATCTCTTGATTCTAGGAGTTGGGCTTTAAGAAACACACCAGTTATCACCAGACTTGCAATAAAATCTTTAGAGCTGGCAACAAGATGACTTTTGAGGATTTTTGATTTTTTTATTTTGTAAACTGCTGCATCCATTTTGCTTTATAAGTGATTAGTAATTTAAAGGAAAACTGTCAGGTTAAAAGTTATATTTAAAACATTAAAAACATTATTTCTGCAAATATCATTAAAACTGAAAAAAAAATCTAATTTACTTTTCACCATTTGTGATATTGCTTAGTTCTTTTGGTTTGGAAAATGAAAATAAACTAACCTGTTTCACTTGTTTTTAGAGAGAAAAGGTGGGTGAGGTAATATACAGTATTTTATTGCACCATCTTCTGTTTTTAGTCAGTTTCTAGTCCATTTCAGTTTGCCACATGCTGGCACAATCCTGCATTGTTTGGGTTGCAAATACCAACAGAAGAAAATTGAAAACATTAAAACAAAACCTTCCCTTTTCCATTGGATCAGAGGACAACAAGGCCCAGCAGCACTGCTTCTTCCCCACCACACAGATATATATTAAGGACTTGACTACATTGGGAATTAGTCCCAATTTTGGTCTTTGGTATAGCTTCAGGTTGCAAATCCTTAGTGTAGACAAGGAGAGCAGGGATTTACACAGGTGGAGTTTACCCCTGCTTGAGCTGGATGTAGGGTTAATTGGAACAAAAACATTATGAAAGATTCCATTTCAAGAGAACCAAAATGGAGTTTTTCAGCTCGTTCCCCAAATTCCCATAGAGTCTAATTCCCCAGGCAACCAGCTCTCTGGGCTGCTTGACTACCTGGGGAGTCACAGAACCCAGGAAGGCAGTTGCCTAGGGAGTAAGGAGCCTTGGAAGCCAGGAAGTTGGACTGCTCTGGGAGTCTGGCAAATGGGCAGCTTGGAGAGGCAGCTGCCTGGGGAGTCTGGTAGCCCTGGGAGGCAAATACCTTTGGATTTTGGCAGTCCAGGACCCAGCTGCCCAGAGATCCCAGGCGGGCAGAAAACCAACCTGCTGGGTTTCTGTTGAAATTTTGACAGAATCGACACATTCCTCAGGATTCTGTCAGATCACCATTTTCCAGTGGAAAACTGTTTCATCAGAAAATTTGTGACCAGCTTTAGGAAAGACACCAAAATGTTAAAATAATCTGAGACTGCACTCACTTTGCTATGTCTTCCTTTACATTGTTGCAAAGTCTTTTCAGTGTTGCCAGGAAGCCTGTGCAGAGGCAGAAGGCCACAGAGCTTGTCTGAAGGCATTGAGCCTCGTTGTAGATGGCCCTGCTACCTGTGGATCCCAAGATCTCTGTGTTGGTAGAATACTACCCATTGTGCAGGAGTTGAGGAAGAGAATCTAACCACCCACTGAGTTTTCTTCCTTCCATTAGTCTCTCTGCAGGCGTTTCAGAGTCCAGGCTATAGCCTGAGCCCAAATGTCTACACTGCAATTTTTAGCCC